GGGCGGGCGGAGCCCCCACCGGCAGCCCCGGGAACGGCGGCACCGGGCACGGCGGCACCGGGGGCGGCGGGGACGCGCAGCCGCGGCTCGGGACCGGCGATGTCCCGCGGCTGCGGGGAGGGGACAGGGGACAACGGCCACCGGGAGCCGAGGGTGGCCGTGTCCTGGCGGCCGCGTCCGCAGCGGGGGGGGCGGGACGCGGTTCCGTGGGCAGGACACGGACACGGACACGGGCACGGACACGGGCACGGCCCGGCGGGCAGGACGTGTCCCCTCGGGCAGGACGCGTGCCTGTGGTCACGGTGTGTCCCCGCCACGGGCAGGACACGGCCACGTCCCCCGCGAGAGCCACTCGTCCCCCCCCCGTGGGCGTGACACGGACCTGTGGTCACGGCGTGTCCCCCGCGGGCAGGAGGTGTCCCTCTGGTCGCTGCGTGTCCCTGTGGTCACTGCGTGTCCCTGTGGTCACTGTGTGTCCCCCACGGACAGGACACGTCCCCCACGGGCCGGACATGTCCCCAGGGGCAGGACACGTCCCTGTGGTCACTGCGTGTCCCCCCACGGGCAGGACGCGTCCCTGTGGTCACTGCGTGTCTCCCCACGGGCAGGACACGTCCCTGTGGCACGGGCACGGACACGGGCACGGCCCGGCGGGCAGGACGTGTCCCCTCGGGCAGGACGCGTGCCTGTGGTCACGGTGTGTCCCCGCCACGGGCAGGACACGGCCACGTCCCCCGCGAGAGCCACTCGTCCCCCCCCCGTGGGCGGGACACGGACCTGTGGTCACGGCGTGTCCCCCGCGGGCAGGAGGTGTCCCTCTGGTCACTGCGTGTCCCTGTGGTCACTGTGTGTCCCCCACGGACAGGACACGTCCCCCACGGGCCGGACATGTCCCCAGGGGCAGGACACGTCCCTGTGGTCACTGCGTGTCCCCCCACGGGCAGGACGCGTCCCTGTGGTCACTGCGTGTCTCCCCACGGGCAGGACACGTCCCTGTGGTCACTGCCTGTCCCCACGGCCAGGACACGTCCCCACCGCCGTCGAGGCCCCCGCCCGGCACCGGGAAGCGGCACCGGGGCCGTGCGGGATCCCCCCATCCCCGTGTCCCCTCCCCGGCCACCCACCGTGTCCCCCGCGTGTCCCCTGTCCCGCAGGTCACCCCCGCGCCGTCGAGCCATGCGGGATCGCCCGGTGCTGTCGCCAGCAGAGCCATGAGCAGCTGTCGCTACAATGGGGGGGTGGCGCGACCCCGGGGACCCCCGAGCGCCGCCCGCACCCCGCAACCGCCGCACCGCGACCCGCAGCCCTGCCCCAGCCCCCGCCTGCAGGTCGTGGTGTCCCGGCCCGAGCAGACCGGAGCGGCGGAGCCCGGCCCCGGCGCGGCCCCCCCGGGGCAGGGGGCGGCGGAGGAGCGGCGGAACCAGAACATCGGCTACAAGCTGGGCCACCGGCGAGCGCTCTTCGAGAAGCGCAAGCGGCTCAGCGACTACGCGCTCATCTTCGGCATGTTCGGCATCGTGGTGATGGTCACCGAGACCGAGCTCTCCTGGGGGGTCTACACCAAGGTGGGGAGGGTCTCAGCATGCGGGTGGGGGTCTCCGGGGTCCGGCTGGGCTCACGGCGTGTCGGTGCTGTCGTAGGAGTCGTCGTATTCGTTCGCCCTGAAATGCCTTATCAGCCTCTCGACGCTCATCCTGCTGGGGCTCATCGTCATGTACCACGCCAGGGAGATCCAGGTGAGCGCACCTGGCCCGCGGTGGCACCTGGCTGGGGGTGGCACCTGGCTGCTGTCTGTCCCCGGGGTGGCACCGGCCTGTCCCTGTGTCAAAAAAACCAAAAAAAAACCCCAAGGAAAAACCGCGACCGCTCTGGTCCTAAAAAGAAATAAAAAGAAGTTTTGGGTTTATAGTAAAACATGTAATACTTAATAATAGTCTGTAAGTTATTATTAATAACCCGTTAATTAACATACCCCATAAGTTAATACCCCTTAAGTTAATAACCCCTCAAATTAACCCAAAACCCCTCAAATTAACCAATACCCCCTCAAATTAACCAAGAACACCCTTAATAAAAAACCCCCTCAAATTAACCTAAAAAATCTCAAATATACTAAAAAAGCACCTCAAATTAACCCAAAAATCCCTCAATTTAACCCAAATCCCCCTCAAGTTAACCAGAATACGCCATCAAAATTAACCAAAACTCCTAAAATTAACCAAATCTCCTCAAATCAATCCAAGCCCTCTCAAATGAAACAAAATTCCTCAAATTAACAAAAAACCCCCTCAAATTAACCAAAATACTCTCTCAAATTGACCAAAACCCCCTCAAATTAACCAAAACTAGTCAAATTAACCCAAACCCCTGAAATTAACCAAGAATATCTCAAATTATCAAAAAAACCCTGCCATAAATTAACCCAAAACTCCTTAATTTAACCAAAACTCCTCAATACATTGAAAAGCCCCTGAAATTAACCAAAATACTCCCCTCAAATTAACCAAAACTCCTGAAATTAACTCAAAACCCCACCTCAAATTAACCAAACCTTCTTTAATTAACCAAAATATCCTCTCAGATTAACCAAAATGCATCAGATGAACCCAAAACGCCTCAAATGAACCAAAACCCCCTCAAATTAACTCCAAAACTCAAATTAATGCTAAACCCCCTCAAGTTAACCAAAATACCTCCTGAAATTAACCCAAATACCCCCTTAAATTTATCAAATGCCTCAAATTAACACCAAGGTCCCTCAAATTAACTAAAATACTCCCTCAAATTAACCAAAACCCCTGAAATTAACCCAAACATCTTGAAATTAACCAAAATAGCCCCTTAAATTAATCAAAACTCCTCAAGTTAACCCAAAGCCTGCAGCTCTTCATGGTGGACGATGGCACTGACTGGCGCATGGCCATGACCTCGGAGCGCGTCTTCTTCATCGCGCTGGAGTTAACCAAAATACCTCTTAAATTAATCAAATGCCTCAAATGAATCAAAATACCCTCTTAAATTAACAAAAACCCCCTCAAATTAACCCAAAACCCCCTCAAATTAACCAAGACTTCCTCAAATTAATCAAAATAACCCCTCGAATTAACCAATGGTCCTCAAATTAACCAAAGGACATCAAATTAACCCAAAACATCTTCAAAATAACCAAAATATCCCCTGAGGTTAACTAAAATACCCCCTTAAATTAACTCCAAACCCCTCACATCAACCAAAACTCTTCGAATTTACCCAAAGCCCCTCAAATTAACCAAAATATTTCCTCAAATTAACTGAAATACCACCTCAAATTAACCCCAAACACCCTCAAATTAACCCCAAACACCCTCAAATTAACCAAAACCCATCAAATTAACCCAAAACCCCTGCAGCTCTTCATGATGGACAACGGCGCCGACGACTGGCGCATCGCCATGACCTCGGAGCGCGTCTTCTTCATCGCGCTGGAGCTGCTGGTGTGCGCCATCCAGCCCATCCCCAACACCCCCTCCAATTAACCAAACCTCCTCTAATTAACCAAAATACCCTCTTAAATTTATCAAACGCCTCCAATTAACTAAAATACTCCCTCAAATTAAGCAAAACCTCCTCAAATTAATCCAAAAATCCTATAGCTGTTCATGATGGACAACGGCGCCGACGACTGGCGCATCGCCATGACCTCGGAGCGCGTCTTCTTCATCGCGCTGGAGCTGCTGGTGTGCGCCATCCAGCCCATCCCCAACACCCCCTCCAATTAACCAAACCTCCTCTAATTAACCAAAATACCCTCTTAAATTTATCAAACGCCTCCAATTAACTAAAATACTCCCTCAAATTAAGCAAAACCTCCTCAAATTAATCCAAAAATCCTATAGCTGTTCATGGTGGACAACGGCGCCGACGACTGGCGCATCGCCATGACCTCGGAGCGCGTCTTCTTCATCGCGCTGGAGCTGCTGGTGTGCACCATCCAGCCCATCCCCAACACCCCCTCCAATTAACCAAACCTCCTCTAATTAACCAAAATATCCTCTCAAATTAACCCAAACACCCTCAAATTAACCAAAGGACACCAAATTAACCCGAAACATCCTCAAAATAACCAAAACCTCCCCAGCTCTTCATGGTGGACAACGGCGCCGACGACTGGCGCATCGCCATGACCTTGGAGCGCGTCTTCTTCATTGCGCTGGAGCTGCTGGTGTGCACCATTCAGCCCATCCCCAACACCCCCTCCAATTAACCAAACCTCCTCTAATTAACCAAAATATCCTCTCAAATTAACCCAAACACCCTCAAATTAACCAAAGGACACCAAATTAACCCGAAACATCCTCAAAATAACCAAAACCTCCCCAGCTCTTCATGGTGGACAACGGCGCCGACGACTGGCGCATCGCCATGACCTCGGAGCGCGTCTTCTTCATCGCGCTGGAGCTGCTGGTGTGCGCCATCCACCCCATCCCCGGGCAGTACCTGTTCACCTGGACGGCCCGGCTGGCCTTCACCTACGCGGCCTCGGTGGCCCACGCCGACGTGGACATCATCCTGTCCATCCCCATGTTCCTGCGGCTCTACCTGATCGGCCGCGTGATGCTGCTGCACAGCAAGCTCTTCACCGACGCCTCGTCGCGCAGCATCGGCGCGCTCAACAAGATCAACTTCAACACGCGCTTCGTCATGAAGACGCTCATGACCATCTGCCCCGGCACCGTGCTGCTGGTCTTCAGCATCTCCTCCTGGATCATCGCCGCCTGGACCGTGCGCGTCTGTGAGAGGTGGGCGCCTGCGGGGCGTGGAGGGAAAGGGTGGGGTTTGGGGGTTCCCCTTTTGGGGTTTTCGTGGGGTTACGTGGGTGGACACAAAGGCCGGGGTTTAGGGGTTCTGTTTTGGGGTTTTCACGGGTTCCATTTTGGGGATTTCGTGGGTAGATGTAAAGGCCGTGGTTTAGGTGTTCCATTTTGAGGTTTTCATGGGTGTATGTAAAGGCCGTGGTTTACGGGTTCCATTTTGGGGTTTTTGTGGGTTTCATTTTGGGGTTTTCATGGGGGGATGTAAACCCCATGATTTAGGGGCTCCATTTTGGGGTTTTCATGGGTTTCATTTTGGGGTTTTCATGGGATGTAAACCCCATGATTTAGGGGCTCCATTTTGGGGTTTTCATGGGGTTTTTGTGGGGTTTTCGTGGGTGGAGGTAAAGGCTGTGGTTTGGGGGTTCCATTTTGGGGTTTTCGGGGGTTCCATTTTGGGGTTTTCATGGGGTTTTTGTGGGGTTTTCGTGGGTGGAGGTAAAGGCCGTGGTTTAGGAGTTCCATTTTGGGGTTTTGGTGGGGTTCTTGTGCGTGAAGGTAAAGGCCGTGGTTTAGGGGCTCTCATTTTGGGGTTTTCATGGGTGGAGGTAAAGGTTGTGGTTTAGGGGTTCCCATTTTGGGGTTTTCGTGGGTGGATGTAAAGGCCAAGCGCGTCTTCTTCATCGCTTGGGGTTTTTACGGGTTCCATTTTGGGGTTTTCATGGGGTTTTCGTGGGTAGAGATAAAGGCTGTGGTTTAGGGGTTCCCATTTTGGGGTTTTTGTGGGTGGAGGTAAAGGTCGTGGTTTAGGGGTTCCCATTTTGGGGTTTTTACGGGTTCCATTTTGGGGTTTTCATGGGGTTCTGAGTGAGGGGGCTTAGATGGGAGTGGGGAACAGGGAAGGATGTAAAGGCTGTGGTTTAGGCATTCCATTTTGGGGTTTTCATGGGTTCCAGACTGGGGTTTTTGTGGGGTTTTTGTGGGTGGATGTAAAAGCTGTGGTTTGGGGTTTTCACGGGGTTTTCACTGGTGGAGGCAAAGGCCGTGGTTTGGGGGTTCCCTTTTGGGGTTTTCACTGGTTCCCTTTTGGGGTTTTCGCAGGGTTCTGAGTGAGGGGGTTTAGGTGGGACGGGGTGGGGGTGCAGCTGAGGAGGTATCGGGGGGTTTGAGGGGTGGGGAGACCCCCGTGGTCAGGATGTTTGGGGTTTGGCAGGGGGGATTGTCCCCAAGCTCCTCTGTGCCACGCTGGGGTGGGACCTGCTGGGGCTGGGGGTGACACGGAGGGGACCGAGAGCTGGGGGGTGGCGAGGGGACCAAAACTGGGGGTCCCTTAGAGGGAACCAAAGGTTTGGGGTCTCACAGAGGGGTCTGAAGGTTGAGGGTCCTGCAGAGGGGTGCAAAGAGCTGGAGCTGCCAAGGGGACCAAAGATTTGGGGTCCCACAGAGGGGTCCGAGAAAGTGACATTCCCACTGAGGGGACCCTCCAGGACGCGCCCCCAGGACGCTCCTCAGCTGCTCCCCGCAGGGTCCCCAGAATGTCCCCGCGGGGTGCCTGGGAATGTGCTCTGTGGTATTCAGGAATGTCCCCGCGGGGTGCCCGGGAATGTCCCTGCGGGGTGTCCAAAATGTCCCCGCGGGGTGTCGGGAATGTCCCCGTGAGATGCCCGGGATGTCCCTGTGGGGTGTCCGGGATGTCCCTGCAGGGTGCCGAGAATGTCCCTGCGGGGTGTCGGGAATGTCCCCGCAGGGTGCCGAGAATGTCCCCGCAGGGTGCCCAAAATGTCCCTGCAGGGTGCCGAGAATGTCCCCGCGGGGTGCCGGGAATGTCCCCGCGAGATGCCCGGGATGTCCCCGCGAGATGCCCGGGATGTCCCCGCGGGGTGTCCGGGATGTCCCCGCCGTGTCCCCTCCCCTGCTGGCCCCGAGCCCCCCCAGCCCCCCGGGGTCGCGCATTAACCGCTGTTGTTTTCCCTCCCTGCCCGCTCTGCTGCTTGCAGGGACAAACTGTGAGTGACCGCGGGGACCGTCCCGAGTGACCGCAGGGACTGTCCCTCGCCCCAGGCTTCTGCTCCCGGACCCCCCAGAATTTAGGATTGGCTGCGGCCGGGGGCGGGCGGGGGGCGCGGAAAGGGGCCCCGAGCCCTTTTTCCTCTTGGAACCTCAGCAGCTGCTTCCTGTCCCCTCCCCGCTGTCCCCTGCCTTGGGGACCTCCTTGGTGGCTTTGGGGGACTTTCGGAGAGACCCCACAAGGAGCTGGGAGTCTCCAAAGGGTTTTTTTTTTGTTTGTTTGTTTGGGTTTTTTTTTTTTTTTTTTTTTTTTTTTCTCCTGGATCCGACTTTTGTCCCTTCCTGTTCCCGCACGTTTTGGGTTCTTGGGGGAAATCCCGGGTGTTCCTTGGGAATGCGGGTCCCGGGAATTGTCACCGTGCTGTCACCTCCCGCCTCGCTCCGGGCTGTCCCCGCCCTGTCCCCCCTGTCCCTGCCGTGTCCCTCGGTGCCGGGTGAGGTTCCAAGCCCAGAGCGGGTTGGGAAGCAGCAATCCTAAATTCCTGACGCTTGAGACCCCACGCCCCCACCCCAGCTTGTTCCTCTGTCCCTTTTCCCTTTTCCCACCCCATTTCCCTTTTCCTACCCCATTCCCCTTTTCTGACCCCATTTCCCATTTCCCTTTTGCCACTCCATTATCCCTTTCCCACCCCATTTCCCCTTTCCCAATCCCATTTCCCCTTTCCCAATCCCATTTCCTTTCCCCAATCCCATTTCCTTTCCCCAATCCCATTATCCCATTTCCTTTCCCCAATCCCATTTCCCCTTTCCCAATCCCATTTCCTTTCCCCAATCCCATTTCCTTTCCCCAATCCCATTATCCCATTTCCTTTCCCCAATCCCATTTCCCCTTTCCCAATCCCATTTCCCCTTTCCCAATCCCATTTCCTTTCCCCAATCCCATTTCCCTTTCCCCAATCCCATTCCCCTTTTCCCAATCCCATTTCCCTTTCCCCAATCCCATTTCCCTTTCCCAATCCCATTTCCTTTCCCCAATCCCTTTATCCCCTTTCCCAATCCCGTTCCCCTTTCCCAATCCCATTCCCCCTTTCCCCCCCCATTTTCCCCTTTTCCCACCCCTTTTTCCCGCATGTCCCCCTCCCCCTGCCCGGCTTGGCCGCTGCTCCGTGTCCCCCGGCCGGGCTTGTCCCCACCCTCGGGGACAGGGGGTGGTGGCACCACCGTGTTTGTGGCATCGGAATCTCGCAGTGTCCCCTGCTGTCCCCCCGGTGTCACCCGCGGTGGCCTTTGGTGACATCGGCGTCCTGAGCTTCTGGGGACAGCGGTGCCACCTCTGTGCTGTCCCCTCAGTGTCCCCCAACCCCACTCCCAACGGGACACAGCCCGGCCGTGGGACATCCCCATGGTGTCCCCAATTCTGGCTTGGGGACATCGCCCCAAACCCACCGCGACGGGCACAAAATGGGGGAGTCAACGACCGCGGTGACATCGCTGTCCTGCGCTTCTGGGGACAGCGGTGCCACCTCTGTGCTGTCCCCTCATTGTCCCAGCGGGACACAGCCTGGCCATGGGACATCCCCATGGTGTCCCCAATTCCATCTTGGGGACAACGCCCCAGACCCACCGCGATGGGCACAACAGGGGGGAGGAATTCGATGACGGCGGTGACAGCGGTGACAGCGGTGCCACCGCCCCGCGCAGGTACCACGACAAGCAGGAGGTGACCAGCAACTTCCTGGGGGCCATGTGGCTGATCTCCATCACCTTCCTGTCCATCGGCTACGGGGACATGGTGCCACACACCTACTGCGGCAAGGGCGTGTGCCTGCTCACCGGCATCATGGTGAGCCACCAGGGGACACGGGGACACGGCTGGGGACAGCCAGGGACACCATGAGGGGACACCGTGAGGTGACACTGCCCTGGGGACACCATGAAGGGACACCATGAGGTGACACTGCCCTGGGGACACCGTGAGGTGACACCGTGAGGTGACACTGCCTTGAGGACACCGCCATTTTCCACTTGGGAGCAGGGATTATTTTCACTCCCCGACCGAGAAGCGCGTTGGGAATTTCAGATTCCCGCCGCGTTTCGTTTCCATTTTTTTTTTTTAAAACCCCAAATTAACGCAAAAACGCAAACGAAGGGGCGGGGCCAACGCTGTCGCCGTGTCCCCGCAGGGCGCGGGCTGCACGGCGCTGGTGGTGGCCGTGGTGGCCCGGAAGCTGGAGCTGACCAAAGCCGAGAAGCACGTCCACAACTTCATGATGGACACGCAGCTCACCAAGCGGGTGAGGCCGCCGGGCCGCGCCCAAAAACGGGGGAAATACCGCTAAAAATGGGAAAAAATGTTTGGGAGAAGACCTGTTAAAACCTATTAAAATGGGAAAAATCTTATTAAAGATAGGAAAAAAACCTGTTAAAAATGGGAAAAATGTTAAAAATGGGAAAAAACTGTTAGAATTGGGGGAAAATGCTGTTAAAACTGATTAAAATAGAAAAAAAACTGTTAAAACCAATGAAAATGGGAAAAGATGTTAAAACCCATTAAAATGGGGAAAATCCCATTAAAAATAGGAAAAAACTTATTAAAAATGGGAAAAAACTGTTAAAATTGGGGGGAAATGCTGTTAAAACTGATTAAAATGGAAAAAAAACCCTGTTAAAACCCATTAAAATGGGAAAAATCCCATTAAAACCCATTAAAATGGGAAAAATACCATTAAAAATAGGAAAAAACCTGTTAAAACTGGGGAAAAAAGTTCAAATTGGGAAAAACTGTTAAAACTGGGGAAAACTCCATTAAAGCCTATTAAAATGGGGAAAAAAACCCATTAAAATGGGAAAAAACTGTTAAAATTGGGGAAAATGCCATTAAAATCCATTAAAATGGGAAAAATCCCGTTAAAAAATAGGAAAAAAACCCCTTTAAAATAGCAAAAAAAAGTTAAATAGGGGAAAAAAGTTAAAATTGGGGAAAACTCCATTAAAACCCATTAAATTGGGAAAAATCCCGTTAAAAATAGGAAAAACCAGTTAGAATTTGGAATAATCCCATTAAAACCAGGGAAAATGTTAAAATTGGGGAAAACCCCATTAAAACTGATTAAAATGGGAAAAGTCCTGTTAATACTGGGAAAAAACTGTTAAAATTGGGAAAAAATTCCATTAAAACAGAAAAATCCCTTTAAAGCTGATTAAAATGGGGAAAATCCCATTAAAAGTGGGAAAGGCCCCATGAAAACCAGGGAAAAAATGGGAAAAACCCCATTAAAACTGGGAAGAACTTCCTTAAAATCTGGCGATGTCACATCAAAAGTGAGAAAAAATTCCATTAAAACCATGAAAAACTCATTTAAAATTGGGAAAAAAACCTGCTTGAAAGTGGGAAAAAACCCAAAAAAAAATGGGAAAAAGCCAATTTTGATGTCCATTCATGGGTGACTCGTGGGATCCACCCAATTAAAACTGGGAAAAATGGGACAAAACCCTTTAAAAATAGGAAAAAATTGGAAAAACCCTACAAAGCTTGGGAGAACCTCCTTAAAACCTGGAAATACCACATTGAAACCAAGAGGAACGCCATTAAAAACCATGGAAAAACTCATTTAAAATTGTGAAAAAACCCAATTAAAACTGGGAAAAACCTCCCAAAATCAGGAAAAAGCCCATAAAAAACAGGTAAAAAAATAAGAAAAATGGGAAAAACCCTACAAAGCTTGGAAGAACGTCCTTAAAACCTGGAAATAGCACACTGAAACCAAGAGGAACGCCATTAAAAACCATGGAAAAACTCATTTAAAATTGTGAAAAAACCCAATTAAAACTGGGAAAAACCCAAAAAAAATGGGAAAAATCCCCCCAAAAAATGGGAAAAACTGGGAAAAAGCCAATTTTGATGTCCCTTCATGGGTGGCTGGTGGGATTTGGGGTTGCAGGTGAAGAACGCCGCTGCCAACGTGCTCAGGGAAACGTGGCTCATCTACAAGCACACCAAGCTGGTGAAGAAGATCGACCACGCCAAAGTTCGGACCCACCAGCGTAAGTTCCTCCAAGCCATCCATCAGTAAGTGCCACCGCTTTTCCTGCTTCCTTGTCACCTCCCCCCGGCCACCGCCCGGTCCCCAAAAGGGGTGTGTCCCCTCCTGGGTGGGTGGCAGTTGGGGTGGCCTGGGTTTGTCACCCTGGCGGGTGTCTCTGATGGGTTTGTCACCTGGGTTTGGTCTCGGTTCTGGTCTTGTCACCTGGCCTTGTCCCCATTACTGTCTGTCCACTTTCCCCAGCACTATTCTTGTCCCCTGCCCTTGTCCCTATTCCTTGTCCCCAGTTCTTGTCCCCTGTCCCCCCATTCCACTGTCCTGCTCCCCTGGCCTTGACCTCTACCCCATTCTTGTCCCCATTCTTGTCCCCACTCCTTGTCCCCAGTTCTTGTCCCCTGTTCTCCATTCCCACTGTCCCACTCCCATGGCCTTGTTCTCTATCCCATTCTTGTCCCCTGCCCTTGTCCCCACTCCTTGTCCCCTGCCTTTGTCCCCATTCCTCATTCCCTGTCCCTCATTCCCATGTCCCTGTCCTCTCTCCTCTCTCTTTGTCCCCATCCCCTGTTCCCTGTCCTTGTCCTCCATCCGCTGTCCCCATCCCCTATTCCATCCCTGTCCCCTTGTGCCATTCTGTGTCCCCCACCTCTGCTGTCCCCTGTACTCTGTCCCTGTCCCCTGTCCCAACCCATGGCACCCCCAGTCCCCCGAGATGCCCCCGGCTGTCCCCTCCCTGTCCCTGTCCCCTTTTCTGTCCCTGTCCCCATCCCTGGCCCCTCCCTGTCCCTGTCCCCGTCCCCCCCATCTCTATCCCTGTCCCTGTCACCCCCCTGCTGGTGACACCAGCCCTGTGGGGTGACCCCCGGGCGCCCCCCCTCTTCGGGGTGGGGTGTGAGGGTGGCCGGGGGCGGCCTGGCCGGGCCGGGGGGGGTCCCTTTGGGTCCCTTTGGGTGGGGGCGGTGGCGCTGTCACGCTGTCCCCTCGGGTTTAACCCTTTGTTTTGTCTCTGTCGCGCCGCCCCCGCAGAGCTCAGAAGTAAGTGCCCCCCCTCCCCTCCCCCA